CACGTTTTAAAGTGCCATTCAAGAAAAGGTTTGTGTAAATTTCAAAGTTTGGAGAAAAAAAACAAGAATTTCCCAAACATTTACTTCAAATGACCGATCAGCTGTTTCTGCTTCTGTCTTTGTCTACAGACGGCATGAAACATGGTCAGTAAAGGGGAAGTACTAGGGACATCCATGTCTTCATATAGCTGCTCTGTACGTAGTCGTGTAAGATTAGCAGCTCCAATGACTAAAGTCGCATAGTATGGGCCGCTCCAATTGCAGAGACTATCAGTCACTGGGTCACCATGATGCTGTCTTAGGCGTCCTTCAGCTCACCTACAAAATGAAAGCAGAGGCCTGTTGGGCTTTAAGTGTCACAGAAGACTTTCTCATGGTGCCATTTTACTAGCTAGACTTCAATAATGCTGTCTGCTTGCCAGCATGGAACCACTGGTAGTCTGAGTGACCGCCTCCGTGGGTGGTGAACACTAAGAGGTACGACAGCACAATACGTTTTCTGTCATGCCTATCCTTCGTTTTCTGCCTTTTCAGTTAAAGTTTTGAATCAGTAAACACCTGTAAATCGATTAAATAATTAATTAGCTTTCCATTTTCCTGTCTTAGATGGACATGGTTTTGTATCTTCTGCTTCTTTGAGGTGTTTTGTCAGTTTTACTTTTGGCTTCTACTCTGTTTATTACAGCCATGTGCCCTGTAGTGCCACCTTCTGACAACACTGCCTTAGCCCAGCCAAATTCACGCTGTTGTTGTTGTTGTTGTTGTTGTTGTTGTTGTTGTTTTGTAACATTTCAGAAGTTAACTTTGAATTTGCTTGACAATTTTTATGAAAGCACACCTAAGGGCATACGCTTGTTTAAACAAGCTATCCCTGCATGAAGTAGAAAGTTCACAAACATCATAAAATACAGCTACGTTTTACCTCTATTACAGTCTAGTTGCTTGCAAATACACCAAACAAGGAGATTTAATTTTTTTGTTATAGTCGTTCTCCAGCTAAATTATTGCTAACTCTGCTTACCTTTTTGTTTTTTTGGACACATAGCAGCATTGGTATGGCCAACACATTATCTGTGTGTTAGCTGCTTATTTGCACATCTATCACACATCACAACGCAACATTCACTCAGAATCATGTTTTTGGCTCTGACAAATACTGTAGCTGTGTTTTCATGGTTTTTTAAAGGGGCTTTTACACCATTGAATCATTGTGTTTAAGCTTTAGTGCATGTGTACTGTTTTTTGTTTAGCCTTGGTCTTTATTCCAATAACCATGTTTTTAAAGTAAGGCAACGCGATGCTGTTAAGCCTTGATTATACGCTCTTGCACTCACGGGCAGCTTCACACACCATATAGTCTATCAGTTGTTGTTATTTTACTACTTTCCAGTGAACTTGGAGGCCTGCTTTCAGTAAATCCACAGCAAATCAGTATCGATGTGTTACATGCATGCACACGGTTGTGTTTTTAACCAGACATCCGCAGTGGCGTCTGTGCAAACTCTTACTTCTGCACTTGGGAAAAGAACAAATAATGTCGTGCATGCCTTAGTGAGCCTTCATGTAGATGTAGAAATACCAATTCATGCTTTCTGCGTCTGTGTGTCTGCAAGAGTATACATGGGCTCCCAAGATGTAAATTTCATTATCTACTTAAGTCCACAAGGGTCTGGCAAACCCCACTGCCGCCGTCTACATGCAGCCCACAATGTGTTACCACGTGGACTGCCTGCGCTGTAAGCAAGCCAACTGCACCGGTTCCAGGACACAAGTGTTGTAATTGAAGTAGCTGCTGCCTGACTTTGGAGCTGTTTTGATTCGTGCACGCTTTCCATTGATGCCATCTAATTGCAGCTGGGAAGTCCTGTGCTTTGTGCACCCGTTGTGCTTCATGCATCACAAAATCACAAAAAACTAAGGTGCAAAACAAAACACCAAAAATGTTTCCACAGTTCCTTTGCAACTACTGCTGCTGTATGTGTCTGTTGTATCTCTCAATCTGGCGCCTCGTGGTGTCATGACTTGGAGTCATACATGACTTGTGTCATATGTTGTGTTTTGTGTTTATCCTGATGCTGTGGTGGCGTTGGCAGCCAGGTTGGTGTTGAATGCTGATCTATTGCCCGTGATCACCTCCCGCTGTGTTTGGCTGTTATCAGGCAGTGCCAGCCTGGTGCTAGCTGGCCTACATTTACAGTCCTCTGGCTCTGCTGCGAGCAGGGTTCCACATCCTCACCCGGCATCTGCACATTCAGGATAAACGCCGCTTCGCACGACATACAACAGCTCTCAGTGAATATTCTTAGTGTTGATTGTGTTCAGAGCAGAACGCATGCCCCTTTATACCTTTTAAGTAAGACTCCTGGTTGCTTGTCTTTTGTTCAGCACGGCTTTGTGTTGCCATCTTAGATACTTGTAAGGTTTTGCCACGGTAAATTTCAATGTGTGGTGGTTCAACAGAAGGATGTGACCTGCTTTGAACAGCTCTTTGAGATTTATTTAACTACATTTACTGTCTTTCAAAAATGAACAACTGAATTGGCTCAGTGTTGGAAATCCGGGTTACTTTACACACGGTGCTTTACATGCCGGCCTGCCAAGCGTGTTCATTTACAAATGCCATCTAAATGTCAGAATCGGTCACCATTAATTCTCTAATGAAACAATATTTCATTCAGTCATAAACTCAAATGCCATGAATGTTTGTGTTCGTTCACGTCTGATTTTATCAAGCCTTAAAAAAAAACAAAAAAAAAAAACGGTTTGTTCAATTTCAGCATGGAGTGTAGTGGAGATGCTACGCTGAGCCATGGTTCATTCTGTTTTGTTGTTTTTCTTATCTACTGTGTATGCCTTCTCTGGAGGCCTACACAGTTTCATACATTGGGCCTCCTCAGAGTGCTTAGATGTGCCTCTTAGATAAGGAAAGCCTCATTCAAACATGAATAGGTGAATCTTGCATTTGTGTCTTTCCATTTCAGATGCAGCAGCGCAGCAACACTTTTTTTGCGCTCAGCCTGATTAACTCTTTCAGTCTCCTGTTCGCTCAGTAAAGCAGCACCTCTGTGTGTTTGGCTTTTACATCCCTCATGCCATGTTGCATGTGTCTGGGCATAAAAGAAGTGTCTTGCATTGCGGCATTCAGCTGCTTCCTGTAGTTAAACACAAGCCTGAGACGATCGACGTGTTGCAGCTATGAGATAATATCACACCATGATTAGTATTGGCTCTGTTGTTTATTACAGGAACCCAGTGTTGTTGTGCTCGCAATCTTTATCTAATCATTGCCATAGAGAGAGAATGTACACAAGAGGTGTTAGGGCAGATAGCAGGGTTGAAGCCATTCATCAGTGTCCAGATTCCCACCCAGCCCATTACGACAGTGTAAAAAAAAATACCATAACCTCGGCTGGCTGTCACATTCCTTCCAGACTTTGTACCACCTTCACCCTTTCTCACAAAACCTCCCCCCTCCAGGACTTTGAATAAAATGTTTTAAAAGAATCTTAATGAGAACAATTCCAAACGGAGCGCAGTTCAGATATTTGCAGCAGCAGAACAGTGATTTTATCAATCTGAAGGGGGGACTGTGGGTGTGGTGTGAAAATTCACAACTCAAGTGTGAAGATAGTTTAAAAAAAATTCACAACAATAGTTTTTGCTTCCTTTTATTAACGAGAGGAGGCTAAAAAAAAAAAAAGAACAGACAGGATTAGTAGATAATTATTTACTCCAGTGTTGGAGAAGTGAGAAATATAGTGCAGAAGTGTCTAACCACAATTTCAGCCCTTAAGCCCTCGGCTGTTATTTCCACCTGAGAAAACCTCCCCAAATTTAGTCAGCGTAAGCTCCACAGCTGTAAGACCAAACTGAACAACCTTGGGCTCTTTGTATGAGAGACTTGGGAGGATTTTGAAACACAATAAGTTTACTTCACTCCATCACCAGGCCAGAGTGAGATTAGAAAAACTCCAGCAAAAATTGCAGTTTTTCTCCTCATAGATGAAAGCTGGAAATCAGAGGCTGAATAACAGCAACGAGTCAGTAAAACTAATGCTATTGAATCTGTTCTAAATATTCTTAATGGCAACTCTGTCAAAACTGATGCAGCAAATTAAGCCCAACAGAGTAGTCGTACATGGCAATGCCGTGATTTGAGTGTGCCACACTGTTTTTGAAAAGTAAAAAAAAAAAACAGCAGTCTTTCTACAACAGATCTGTCCTGGTCCCGTACAGTGACCTCCAGTGTAGATACGGTTAAACTACAAACGGTTAGTGGCAAAATCTGGACTCATTAGTGAATGGCAGTATTTGCAATAATAATTTTGAATTTCCTATATTTCGTCTGCTTATGAGCCAAAATTTCCACTTACACACAACAAACATCAGAACCTGTTGCCCACATTGCTGTAGAGTTTACTGAGCATATTAAGGCTCCACAGAGATTTTTTTTATTTATTTAAATGAATTACTATTACCTAGAAAAACTAACCTACATGCAGTGATTTGGTGTTCGACTTCCGTAAAGCTGAGGCACAAGTGTCGGTATTTAAAATCCATCTCCAGTCATTAACCCCTAAAATCCTCTCTGTCCATCAAAGTTACATATTTTTACCTTTTTTTTCTCCCCATGAAAATAATCCATTCCTTTAAATAACCCTCTCTTTCTCCACCACCCTCCTCACTCATGGCAGCTCAAGCTCACCAGCTCACCTCCAGCTTAGCTCAGACATTATAAAAATACCAAAGACAATAGCAATATTACAGTAATTCAACCAAATATGTTTAAAATATCATAATAATGATACAGCAAGTTGAAGTGGTTTGTTCTATAGTTCGTTAAAAATTCTGAATCCGTGTTTTTTAAACTGTCGTAGGTGCAGTTTAAAGGTGGAAATACTTTAACTTAACATGCTGGTTGTGCCCACTTTGGCTAGTTGGTTGAAAAATATTCATTTCTGTGCATTAATTTCTGGTTTCCGTATGTTGTGCACCTTCAGACTTTGACTGGAACTACTTCTGGTCATGGAGCCGCTTCATGGACTACGTGCAGTGCGTGCTGTCCTTCACGCTGGTGGCGGCCTACATCACCTACCTCCTCCTGGACTCTGCGCTGTTCGTGGAGTCCCTGGGATTCCTGGCTGTCTTCACAGAAGCAATGCTGGGCACGCCACAGCTCTACTGCAATTATCAGAACAAGTCCACAGAGGGCATGAGGTACAGATGCAATACTGAACATCCATCCATCCATTTTCTGTTCACTGCTGTAGCAGGCAGGATACATCCTGGACAGGTTGCCAGGCAATACTGAACATCCATCAGTTCAACAGAGAATTCAGTCAGTTGGCATTTATCATTGAGCGGCCACAGTAGGAACAGATAAAAGCTTTAGGTCAGGACATGAAGAGAAGCATCAGTTTTTAGTTACATGGTGCACGCTGTGGCCCACTGAACTTCCAGTAAGCTCTGTTTCACTCCCATGTGAAACAAGTTACAAAGGCACTGAGATATTTTATCTGTTTCTCTTCTTTTATTTATCTCCTCAAACACAGACTCAAATGCAGCCCAGTGGGACTGTTTGGATTTTCTGAGAATAAAGCAAGATTTAATTCTTAGATATTTTTATCCTTCATATGAGCGGTGACCTGCCAGAGTTCAGTCAAAATTCTTGTGAAGTTTTCAGAACTTAGTCATAAAGTTCCTGCCGTCTTATCCCATTAACAGTCTGCTATAAGTTTTCAGGCTGAGCCTGACCAAACAAAAATGAATCAGCACCAGTAATCACTTGGATGTTGCTGCTGGAACATGAACGTGTGCTCCGCTGGTTGAACGGGTGGATGAACAGATGAGGCTTTCCCACAGTTTCTGTGGTAGTTCCTCAACTGAAATCTTTTCATTTGTGGACAGCCAAAGTGTTCTTGGATAGTTCACACTTGTAAGATCTTTTGACTTCCAATGTTGGAAATCTGGCCGTCACTTTAACAGAAGCAGGGTTGAGGCAGAACCACTCATCAGATTCTGTTGGACCACTAAGAGCTCAGGGTTCATATTGTCTGACCGAGCCTGATCATCGTCAGTGCTCTGGTTCTTCTTTTAGATTGTCTGATTCATGACTGACACGACAACTAATTCCTTATCACCACTAAGGTTCAGGATGCTGTAGTCCTAAACACATGTGGGTAAACTCTTAGTGAGCCCTCTATGTTTGGAATCCTAAAACTGTAAAAGCCGAAAGAATCACTAGATTTTCAACTTTCCAGTGATCCCCAAACTAATCATATGTGACATGCAGTTCTGTCAGTGAAATTGACCAAATCTAAGCTTAAAATCACTCTATTCAACAACATTTGCCAGAACTTAAGCCAGAAATAAACTGTTTGCACCCGATTTTGACCAACATTCGTGGGTTTAACTGCAGGCTGTGTTCACACAGAGCAGAGAGAAGCAAGTATGGAAACACATCAGAGAGAGTGAGAGGAAAATAAAACTTGACCTAATTAAAATCATAACACCTTTGCCCAGAAATGGTGCACAGAGGAGCAAGTTGTCAGCAAGTTTTTGGAAGATAAATTCAGCACGGTGAAACATCTTTCTAGAGCTGACATGCAGAACAGTGGGAAAAACAGTAGTGGTGGTAAATATGTAAATGGTTAAATGTGGCGGCGGTGACTCAGGCGGTTGTCCACTGATGCATGGCAGCTCTGACGCCACTGGTGTGTCAATGTGTGAATGAGGAACGTATTATAAAGAGCTTTGAGTAGCACTGAAAGGCGCTATATAGGTGCAGACCATTTACCATCTAAATATCCACAGTATGCAGAGCCACCATTTTTACCAGTATTGACAGTATTATTCAAATTCAGAAGATATTTCTGAGTTCTCTCTACATCTTACTTACTCTACTTGTGCTGTTTTCATGGAGGTGCAGGACTTAGCATTGCAGTGAAACATGTGGCAGGAGAAGGATTTCCTTCCAAGCATCAGAGAAAATTGCACAATGTAAACACACTCGGAGCTTAGAATCTTTCTTTACCGTCGCTGTCTTTCTTTCTTCAACTATTCAAGCTGAAAGCATAATTTACAAAGAAGAATTCTGGTTCATTTCACACTGGTGTATCGGGCCGTGCCAGCTTTGCGCTCTCCACCTCTGCTGGGGAGATTCAGAGAAACAAGAAGTCGGTGTTTATTTATATCGTGTGGTTGTAGGTGTTTATTGTGGCCATTAGCATGAGCTCACTGCTCTCCAAAAAGCAGATTTTTACATGACTCATTTAAATGTTTGTTTTCAGTCTGACTGAAGAAAAAACAGAAATTTGCCATTTGGAACGGAAATTCTGCTAAGTGGATTTGGGACCTGCATCCTGGGATACTTCCCAGTTGACCCAATCACTAGCACATCCATTCATGCACGCTGGTTTGTTTACATATGTGCTGCTGACTCTCTGGAAACTGGAATATACCATGTGAACCATTGTGAGGACGCCAGTAGGCCATGTCAGAGGTTTGGTTTATGTATTTATTGGTAGTGAAGTTCACAGACAAGACTGGGAGGACAGGGGCAGATGCACAAAGACAACAAGAATCCTGAAAGACAGTTCACCTTTCAGCTGTTGGTGTTCCTGCACTCACTGCTCTGCTGCCAACTGAGGAGGAAAACTGCAAAAAATTGGGGATCCATTGATGCCATACTTGATTAAAGCAATTCTACCTGTAAAACTACAACTTCTGCAGCTGTATTAAAAAGCTCTTTTTTTATTTAACCATTGCTATTTCTGTTTACTTTTGGTCACACTTGGAAAATAAACTTTTAAAATGATTCTTGTAAAAAAAAAATTGCTTTGTTGAAAAGTTGCAGGAGCCATTGTGAAAGAACACTGTTCACAGGCTATTTTCTAATTCTGCTCATCTCTATTTATTTCCCAGAATCTTTACAACAGAGGTGAAGCGTGGCACAATAGAGACGTTAGTGGGAAATATGACAGGGTGAAATAAATTGATATTGTCTTTAATGATGATGTCTTTATCCTGATGAGTAATGTTTTATTTATGAGTGCAGCTTCCATCACAGGCAGCCCCGGGGGGACGGTGCTGTAGCACACACTGAGTAATGACTCCAAATTATATTGTCTCATATATGATCATTAACACTGACACGTGCTTATTAAGTATTTTGAGTAGCAAGTAAGGAAGGGGTTCCTGACAACTATTTATTAAGCTTATGTGACAGTTGCCCCTAAAATCTATATGATAATGACGTGTTCTGTCTGTCTGCATCGGTTGCTGATCTATCATTTTGGCTCCCATGATTTCTAAAAGCATGTACACTTTCAATCCCAGCAGCTCTCTGGGCTGTAGTAAAGCTCTGATTCCTGTGTTTGTAAATAGTGAACAGAACTTTAATTTTATTGCATTTTTAAACAGTCACCGCAAAAATAATGAGACTTCAGTGGATTTCTAAAGAACAGCGCAGCAACATGATTAGAACAGAAGAAGATGCAGTTGTTAGAACTAATCAGGAAGATTAAACTGATAATGTCTGTGTTAAAAGACTTGCAAGTTTGAGGCTGTTCACAGGCTTGATAAAAAGCTCTCTCTCAGTGTGTGTCCTGCCTCAGACTAGTGTGTGCCCCCTCTCCTCCTCTCTGCTGGTTGGCTTTCTGCAGCGGACAGATAACAGAGCTCCAGCAGGGCTGCCTGTCCACTTAACCGGCCATGACAGCTCCCACGCTGGGCCTTTCCATACCCTCTCTGCCCCATGCTTTATTTATTTTTGATTTCCATGTACTTCCTACCTACCCGACACTTTGTCTGCCACACATATTGTCCGCAAAGCTGTGCACAGTGTGTGGTTACTGGAAGAGGCCACCCTCTTATATTGATAAATCTGCTGTGTTTTATGATTTTAATTTTTTTTTGTGATTAGCAGGTGCTTATCACTTCCCAGTCAGCCTTTTCTACACTTTTCCAGAAAGTGTTTCCACAAACCTGTAGCAAAGCTGGTCAGGGTGTGTATGGATGTGTGTCTCTAAATATTAAACTAGCAGCATTGGAGAATTATTATGACTGTTGAAGTCAGCAGAAAAATCAGTTTCTCTCATCATCTGAAGTCCTGACAACAGGTTGATTAATGTTTAGGAAAGACACAACTTTTCTTTGGTCAAATTTAGCAGCAGCAGGAATTATAATCTCGGTTGGGATGTATCAGCTATCAGCTACTGGCTGAGTCTGTCACTGGTTGTTCTGGTTTTGTTAGGGTGACATTTTTAGGTGATTGTTGTCATTATGATCGGCCTCCAGAATTCAACTTGGTCAAAACTTCATCTGTAAAGCGCAATTTAGAGCTTACACTGATAAAAACGGGCAGTTGGAGTTGCTCATGTGTGAGAAGTCATGTCACCAGCACGTAGCAGTTCACTGTGTTTGCTGCCCCAGAGAAGGAAGTACGTACAGACCCGCTTAATGCAGTGTTATGAAGATGTCTCTCTGCCTTCTCATCACTGCTGCATTGTTTTTGGGAATAAAGGCCAGTTAGCAGCTACTAGCCAGGCTATAGTAAAGACCTGACCCCACGGGGGTTTTTGGTTCCTTCCCACTGTTGCGGACTGCTGAAGCTTATAGGGAATCCAAATGTTTTGGATTGTTGGGTGTTTCTGCCTTTGTTAGCGCGATGAGATGACTTGTTGTTGTAAATATGGGCTATACAAATAAAATGGAATTGAATTGAATTGAAAAAACCAGAGGTCATCCTGCCACTGTGAGGAGGCCCAGGTCTGTGAAGGTACCATGGCTCCTTATGATAACCTCACTAAAGAGTTAAGTGTCTCAAATCAACGTCATTGTGTTGGGAGCGGACAGACTGATTTAACAGGGTTAACTTGAAAGTGGCTCATCTCCAGGTACAGGTTGACAACAACTCGTCCTCCTGTGCATGTTCAGACAGAGGAAGGGCTGTTCACAGAGCGCTCTGTTGTCAGTGTTTGAAAGATAGAAAGATAAGAGAGTGGCACAGATTGACAATGAAATAAGACTTAAGTATTGAATCAGTTTGTAGGGTTCTGCCACAAATATATCAGTGTGTGGAAAACGGTGATCTAATGCCAGCTAACTCTCAGTAATGACCTGTTTTTAAAGTGACAGCGGCCTGTTGGAAAATGTTCATATGTCACTCAAATGTCATCATCACCTACTTGACCAATTACCCATGGAGAGAAAGTGTG